TAGCTTTTAATTTAAATATTTTAAGTAATTATTAACTTTTCATTGATATTATAAATAATATTTAATGAGCTGTAACTCTTAACCAATAAATAATAAACGTTTTTTAATTTATTTTTTTAAAAAAATAATTGAATAGCAAAGAAAAAAATTGAATAGTTTTTTATTTTTTATTTAACTGCTACTTCTTTCTTCTTCCTTTCTCTAACTACTCTCTTTTTGTTTAATTTTGTTTCAATTTGTATTTTTTTTACTAACAACAACCTTGGGGTAGAAGTGGAAGAGAAAGTAAAGTCTTCTATTTTTCTAACGCATAAGCATTGATATGAAGCCTTCCATTTTCTCAATACAGAGACACTGGTACAAGAGTCTTCCCTTTACTACTCAGCCTCCATTACACACACCTGTCAAACAGTATTTCACAGTTTCTTTGCAAAACTGTCACTTTTGGAGGCGTAGACATTGCAAGTGTCAAGTTTATTTTCTTGACAATCAGATTTTATTATTTTAATTTGGTCTTATTTTAAATAAATTTTAAATAAAATTATAATAATTTTAAAAAAAAAGTTTAAAAAATAAATTTTAAATAAAATTATAATAATTTAAAAAAATTATTTTATTAATAGAAAAAACTTCATTTTTAAATTTACTTTAAGCCCTAAAAGCACTTGAGCTGCCCTTGCATATTTGAAGTAGCAAAATGATATAAATAGACTAAGTTAAAATGTCACAAATAACTTTTCTTCAACCTAACAAAGAAATTTGTATTCTATAGGTAAAAAACGATGCCAAGATCTTGAAAAGCAAAAGAATATTTTGCTTGTATCAGTGACATTCTCATGTTTTAAACAAACATAAAAATGAAATATTGTGAAAATACAAAGAACATGGACCAATTTATGTACCAATAACAAGTTTTAAACAAGATTGACAAGAAGACTAGGTTGTAATGAAGATTTTATGGCTAAGGCAAGAGAGAAACAGAAACCTATAATACTTTGTATATTGGATACAAAAGAAATTATTGTTTAAAAGTGGTAGAATGCACTAATAAAGACTTTTTAACATTAGTTGTATAGTACAACTAATGTGAAAAATGTTTTCTAGTATAATTGACGAAAAAGCTTATAAAAAAAATATAAACATCATTTTTTAGATTTGTTACTTTCAGAATCGATGTAAAAATCATTTTCTACATTAGTTGTATAGTATAATTACTATAAAAAAAATTTTTCAAAACTTTTTAAAAAAATCTCACCTTATTTTTTACATTGATTCTTATGTAACCATTGTAATAAATTATGAGAGAACTTTTTTTTATGTAAAAGGTTTGCATAAATTTAAAAAATATCACTATATTTTTTTCATAATTTTTTTCTTAACTAATATAAAATTATATTATAAAAAGTCATTTTTGTAGTGATATTTTTTTATAATTTTTTTTTAGATTTATTGGATATGAAATATTTCTTCTACTAACAATCAATTGAAAGAAATAAAGTAGAACCAGTGATTTCAAATTAATATTATAATTTTCCCTCTAATTTTTATATAGGCAAATTTTATTTATATAACAAAATTATATTTTTATTAATAAAAAAAAGAAACTACACATATTAAGAGCATAAATTTGTTATTTCATTGAGTATGAACTAACAATTATTGAATATTTAACAAACTAAACTAATAAATACAACTTTATTTATTATGTATAAAAATTTTAAATCTTAAAAAACTTGAGATTTTTTCTTTAAATGTTAATAATATACATAAAAAATATATACCAATAAATTTGTGAACATATTAAACAATGAAATAAACATATTCCGCATATACAACATTAAGATAAATATACAAAATTTGCATATGAAGTATTTTAAAGGTCGTTAAAAAACTGAAAGTTTATAACTTCACAGTTAAAAATATATAGTTGTATAATTAATTAAAATTATTTAATAAATCTAGCTATATAACTAGTTGAAATAAGTTGAATTACTAAAAAAATATATGTAATAATTATATTGGAATAATATTGAAATTAAATATAAAATTATTTATTATAAACAAATTAATTAAATAATTTTTATTTATTATTATTATTTAGTTAAATAAATAACTATTTATTATTAATAAATTAATGAAATATTTATTTATTTAGTTTATTTATTATTAATTAAATAATAATAAATCCAGTTTTTTTTTTGTTGAGTGTGTTTTAAAGCAAGAAAAAAATAAAAAAATTTGTTAAAAGTTAGCTTGTAATCTAAAATTTATTTACGGTATTTTTTTAAAAGTTATAATTTTTTTATTTATTTAGCTACAAACTATTAAATAAATTATAAACTTATATTATTAATAACATTGTAAACTGTTAATAAAATAATTTGAAAAGTAAGAAAAAAGAAAGAAAAAAAAATAAAAAAAGAACGAAAAGAAGAGTTAATATAAATTTATAAAGTCTCTCACTCTTATCAATAATAAACATTACATAATATTATTTTTTTTCTCTGAATTCCTTCCTCAAGGCTCAAACCAACTTTCAAACAAAATTTAAAAATAAAATATTTTTTTTATTTCAATTTATTAGTTATCACTTATAAACAATATTTAATATGCAATAAATTTTATTTATTATTTTCAATTTTTTAAATGAAATAATTTTTTATAATTTAAAAATATAATTTTTTATATGCTCATGCATTAAATTATTCTTATAAAATTTTATTAAAAGAAAATATTTTTTACTTAATAAATATTAATATTATCTTAGTTTTTAGATTAACAATTACTTAATAATTACTTATTTCATTATCCTTTTTTCTCTCATTTTATATTTTTAAATATATATATATAATGAAAATATGTTTTTAAAAATTTGTATTATTTTTAAATAATAATATGACATATTTTAAGTGATAATATTTTTTTTAAATCATATAATTATATGATTCCGATTTACATCTCTCACTCTCATATAAAAAAGATTATATATATGTATGTTATTTTTTTTTAAAGAATTTTATATAATTTATTATTAATTTTACTTTTATTTAGTAATAATAAATAACAAATAAAATATGTATCAAAAGAGTTATATTCAAGAGTGATTATATTTTTTAAGTAAAAAGTTAAATCAAAATATTATAATATTTAAGAGTGAAAATAAAATTAAATTATTTGTATAAATTTTTATCTTTTAATTTTGACTATTATGTTGTCTATATTTTCATACTTTTTTCTCTCTCTTTAATTACATGTAAATACAAGTATTAATATAATATTATATTATAATTATAATATTAAAAATAATAAAATATTTATTTATGATATAATAATTAAATTTTTTACTACAATATGAAAATATTTTATTAAGTAATAATCAAAATATTTTATTGTGCATTTCTTTAAATAATTAATTTTTATGTAAAAAAGAAAATAGTCTTTTAAATATATATTTTTATATAAGATTAATATATTTTATATTATAAAATTAACTTCATTTTTAATGTATTATTAGTATAATATTTTATATTACTAACCAATTAAAATATATAATCGGTACAGCTTCTAAAATGATTATAAAAGAATCACTTTCGCTAATACCATAATTCATAGTCAGATAAAAATATAAAAAACATCTCATCGTATAAAATTGTTTTGATTAAATTTATAATTTAATAGTAAAAATATTTTTTTAAAAATTAATTAACAATGAAAATTATATTTTTATAATAATAATGATTATTAATTATTATAAATATAAAATATTATTTAATCGAGTTTTGTTGAATTCAAACCGATCAGAACATATCATATAACAACGAATGTGTTGAGCAAGACGGAGTCACGCACAACAGAGTTGCTGCTAAACAAGGAGCTAAACAACCCTACAATCTGCAAATTTTTCGGTTGGATTCGAACTTTAGTCGGTGAATTTCTCCTTTTATTCTTCTCCTCTTCCACTCCTGTTTCTATTTTCCGCTGCATGCACTGTTTTGCTTGTCATTCAGAAAAGGAAAAGTAACTCAACGAACAAACTCCTTTTCTTTTCTCTTTCTTTATTCGTGGATTTTTATTTTTATTTTTTTATGTTTTTTTTCCGAACTTACCTCTAAGAGGGATGGAACATGATGTTTCTCAAAATCCCTGCGAAAGTGAAACATGCTGGTTTCTTCTACCACTAATCAAACATCGCGAGAACATTGCAAGGGTCGCAGTTTTATGTAAACAATAAAGCATTTATGCACAGTTACCGGAGTCTCTGAATTTTGAGTCATAAATGTGAGCAGTGTGGGTAATTTTGTATCCTTTGTTCCTATGTTGGACTTGTGTTTTCAAGGACGGTAATTTGCGAGACTTTTTAATCAACAGTGATATTGCGGCAACTTTTACCTATTTGACTTACCAGCATGCTATTTTGGAGTCAGTGACCTATCAGCAGCCACATCACTACTTTCTTTGTGAAAATGATAAGAATTTTAGTTTCAATTTGGTTACTTCTTCGAGTCAGGTTGTTGTCTATTAAGCACGGTTTTATTCGATTTTTTTAAAAGCACTTAGAAAAGTTACTTTAAAATGATATAGAATATTTTAAAATGTTGTTTCTCAATTTTTCGTGAGAATCATTATTATAAAAGGAAAGATACAAAAATCTGGATTATATGTGCGTGTATGTGTGCACTGTTCCAGTGTCCTATATTTTGGACATTAGCTGTGACAGAATGTTTCCGTCTGAGTTGGTGCTTCGTAGAGGACTCATTTGTTCCATAGTAAGCTTTAGAGTAGAGAATGGATGATCTGATTAATGTATGGAATTAAGAGTCATGATGTGCATGCTGTAACTTGCTATCCCCAAATAGTTATCTTACACATTGCTGCTCTGATTGCAATTTGGACCAGGGATGGGTTTGGAGGAGAATGTAGCAGAGATGTGCAATAAGGACAGTGCTTGTCCAGTGTGGACCTTATGCACACATGCTTTTTATGATTTAACACATGTCTCTCCAGTGGTATTTATATTCCTGCTGAAAGAATGCTATTTTTATGGTACGCTTTCTTCTCTTTTCAATGCTGATATTTGTTCTGAGATTGGATATGATGATGAGTGCTATGAGTTTGCTGAAATGCTTCAAGTAACCTCTCTGATAATTTATTTTTCTTGAAGGTAACACCGTGCACTCAAAGAGACTGGACATCAGTGTTTATTGTCTGGAAACTTGTTGTGCACATGTCTATGTTTTCATTGTCTAAGTGTTGAACATGTGACACCTAGGATAAAACTGGTTTTGAGGGGGTGTGTGTTTTAACTATCTTGGCATCCGATGATTATTTGATAGTTAAAACATTTTTTTCCTTCTTCAAGGGCTTTGAATTATTTACTTAAATTATTTCCTTCACGTCCCAAGAAATTAATTGTCATCCAAGATTTGTCCAAAATCTCACTCTGCCTTGTGTTACAAATTCCTTCCTAGAATGATATTTATTTTGGGTTGAGCATTTCAATGTTCAGACTTCAGATATATGATATCCTATATCTTTCAGATTACATACGTGGTATCTGCTTTAATATATTATTGCCCATGCATGGAAACTTTTTGGGGAAAAAAAGTGATTCAGGAACCAATTATCACTTTTCAGGGTCAATTGATATTATATGGGCACATGAGCAGAAAGTTGATTTTTTGGAAAGCCCATAACTAAGAAATTTTTTTACAGACCTTAATTACTTATCAGCTCTGGTAATGAGTCCTTTATAAAGTTAGTAAGATATTCTTTTCATACAAGTCAGCAAACTTCTTTATAAATGTTTTCATAATTAGCCATCAAACTTCTTTGTTGCAATTGAAATTGATGATTATTCATTAGACTTAATGTGGTTTCCATCTGTCTCATCAATATGCATCTTGTTTCTTACTTTTCAGAGTTGTTTTCCTTTGAATGACATTGCATAGGCACATGTAAGGCAACAGCAAAATTCCGAGCCCTTCAACATCAAGTATATCTTGTTCTCCATAATGATCCAAAACCTGGACCATCAACTTTTATTGTTCAGTGCATGTATGTGTCACCTTTATTTGAAGATCACAGTCAAGGATTTACTCATTTGATTGTATCTGCTCTTTGCCGCTTCCTAAAAAGATCAACCACTACAGAAGCTTCCTTGGAAGTGAAAGACTTGGCCGCCCATCTTCTTCTTGATATTCTTAGGGGTGAGATCTATCATGATGACAAGATAGTCCTGAAGTTATTGGAGATTTCTGATGTAAAACTAACAAATGTTGAGAAAGCAATGTGCCAAATCAAGGAAAAATATGATTTAAGTCTCACAGCAAAAGAATTTGTTGAGCAGTATATTGTTGAATTGGTAAAATCCCAGTTGTATGTGACAGCTGTCACTTTAATGGAGCATTTCTCTATCCACCACTATGGCAAGTCTTTTCTCCATGAAATGATAAAGAGTAATCAATTCAAAGCAGCAGAGAAGTGGGCGACATATATGGGGAAACCTATGTTATCCATACTTGTGGAGGAGTTCATTGAGAGGAACATGCTAAAGAATGCCTATGAGACTATAAAGAAAAATAATCTAAAGCACGATTTCCCTAATGTATACAAAAGGTGTAAAGAAAGGTAAATGACTTGTAGTTGTTCACATGGTTCTACTGTTTGATTTGTTCAAAGCATTCTAATTCTAATTTCAACTCCACATCCCCTCAACCATTTTAAAATTCTTTTACAAGATTACTTCTTTGATTTGTAGCTCACTAAAAACCTTAGCAGAAAAAGGATGTTGGGATGTTGCCGAGGCAAGAACAAACAATGATAGACAGCTAATGGAATATTTGGTCAGTTGTTATTTTCATATTTTGCATAATGATTGCTATTATGTATGTGCATGCTCTGAATTGAATTGGTGAATACCACCAGAGACTGTAAAATAATGCCTTACTTTTTAAACTATGTCCTTTACAGTCTTCTTGTATTGATTAGTTTTACCCTTGTATTAATGCTTGTGTGATCTTCAATTTTGATTTCTATGTCATGTTGATTGGGTTGTTTACAAATGAAACTTAGACAATCTTTTTCTTACTCTGCTATAGGTGCATAATGTTTTCAGCAGTCCTTGTTGTACAACCTTCATGAGTCTTCATTAGCCAAAATTTAATTTGTATTCACTTTATTTTAATCTTAATTTGTCTATTTATTCTGCACCAGAACAAACATTTCATCCTTGTGTTACTATTCTTGTCACACTTGAAGGGTAATTTTGGCCATGTCAGCTTCCAATGCTGCAAAATATGTATCAAGATGAGTATATTTCCTGAAATAAATATTAGATGACCTATTGTTTAAAATTGTTTTACAAGAGAGAGATTGTTTTTCAGTAAATTTAATGAGTTGTTAAACCACTGGTAGCATGTTGATATTTGAACTCATTGCTTAAAGAGAAGGGATTTCAGTTAGGTCACCCATATTTGGTTGTTATAAAGTGGTGGGGAGTTTACGTACAAGGCTAGGGATAGCCTCCTAGAATGTGGTTGGTTTTTTACCAGCTCCTTAACTTTACTTGTATATCAGCTACATAAGTGCCGTAAGCATAATCTTAGCCTGTTTATTAGGTACCATTTGACATGCTGCTATGAGAATTGCTTGGGGTGTATATACTTATCAAAGGAATGCTGTGAAATTTTTTAAATTCAAGATAGGACAATTTCATGAACCATTGTGTCCAGTTTGAGTGGGCTTGGACAGCGTTAAGTGCCCAGGAAGTGTTATTAATGTAATAGAGGCTCAGTTGTAAGCTGTGAAAGTTTAATTTTAAAATGAATATGGAACTGGGCATATAAGCAAAATAACAATACTCTAATTTTCATTCTATCGAAATGAAGATGTAATAACAATAACCAAACTTTACTTCAGTAGCTGAGGTTAGCTATATGAATCATATGACACTATTTAACTCAGCCAAAAACTAAATTTTTAAAAATATGGTTGATCAAAAGGTTTATTTTAATAACTTTTTCTAAAGTTCTTGGTTTTTCTCTACTCTTTTTAACAAGACTAAAAGTCATGCAATCCATTTTCTTCACTAGTGCCTCCAAAGGTCGTTTTTCATTTGATCAAACTATTTTAGATAGTTTTCAATCATCTTTTCTACTATAAGTGTGATTTCAATATTTTCAAATATATTATCATTTCTTATCTTGTCTTTTCTCATTCAATCACTCATCTACCTTAATATTTTTATTTTTGTCATACCCACTTTTTTCTCATGTTGTTTCTTTAAGGCTTATGATTCGCTATCATATAGGATAATTGATCATATTGTTGTATCAAAAAAACTTTCTTAACTTGATAAGTACTTTACAGATACAAGTAACTTTTTGTCTTTTTTCATTTTAATCACTCAACTTGTATTCTTTCAGTAATATCTTTATTACTTTTTTCATTATTTTGTAGAATCAATCCCAAGTACTTGAACTTTGATATTTAAATTATAATATCATCTCCAATTTTAACTTCTAACACATGGTCCTTATATTATTTTTTGCTAAACCTACAATGCACATACTCATTTACTTTTACTTAAGTGAAAATTGTTAGATTTTAACGTCTCCCTCCATAAATCAAGTTTAACATTAACTTCTTTTGAATTCTTAATTAATATTTTGTCGTTCTCAAGGAACATGTACTTAGGGACAAATTTTTGTATGTCACTTGTAAGTACATGTAGGTCTAGATTTAACAAGGTTTCAAAGTAGAACTTTGATGCAAACTTATCCCTATTGAAAAGTTTTTAGATACGCCTTTAAAAGTTTTTGTACACGTATTTACCCTCTTATACATGTTTTGTATTTTGTATATAGTCTTATTATATTCTACATGAATTTCTTTCTTTTTTGAAACCTTTTATAATACTTCTCTTGGTACATAGTCATATACTTTTTCTAATTCAATAAAAATCATATGTAAGTCTTTTTTTCTAGCAATATTTTTTTATCATCTTTCATAAAAATATCTAGCTTTTGTTGTAGACTTTTCTGACATAAAACTAAATTAATTTTTTGGCTAAACTCTTATTTTGGTCTTTGAGAGAGTTTGCATCTGATATTTTAGTCCTTGAAAAATTAAGAATGTTACGTTAGTCCCTGACTTCTATCTCCGTTGTTTATTTTAATCCTTAAACACAAATCTCATTAACAAATGATAACAGAAAGTTGACATGTCACATTACGTGCCATGTCAGATGTTCAGTTGGCAAAAATGGCGTCGTTTTGAAGGATCGAGAAAGTGAACATGGCAAAACAGTGTCGTTTCTTCCTTCCTTTTATTATTGGGGTTTCTTCATGCCCATCAAACCCTAAACGTGGATTCCACCTAAAAAATGGGGCCTTTATGGTTGCTTTAGCAAATCCCTTTCCAACAATCACAATTTCTAAGACCAATGGAAGAAATTTAATCTTCTCCATCAAAGATAAAAATCTCTGGTCCTGTTGCGACTCAATAATATCAACATATATTTGAGAACCCTTATATGGGGCAAAGAAAAGGCTTCCAAATGCAAGGAGTGAGATTGATTCAATTTGAGAATCCGGTCCAAGAGTCTTAAACACATCTTTCTTTCTCCTAACATATAATATTTTCTTTTTCTTCTTTAGTTGTTCATCAGTTTGAAATGAATCTAACATGTCATCCTCATGACCATCTTCATGGTAATTCTGCAATGGAGACATAATGCCCACTCCTAATTAGCTCAATTACATGATCCTAAACCAAAATTCGAATACCCTTTGGATCCAAAACCCTAAACTTTGGTCATCTACTTAGGGCAACAGCATGATGATCAAGAATAGGAGGAACCACCAAAGTACAATTGAGAATTCCAGTCATTAAAAGAGCATTTTTAAACTCAGATAGCTCAAATAGTTGGTTACTGAAACCAGGTGTGTACCACATGAATTTCCCCCCTATGGCTAGTGCTTGGTGTGAGCATTGAGGATCTTCTGATGATGAATTTTTGGGGAATACAAAATGAGGTTTTGTATGGAAAAAAATATCGAGAATGAAAAAGGAGAGGAAGATTACAAGGAGAGGTAGAGGAATGAGTGGGAATCTGTGAAGGGTTTTTCTTTTAGATAAAATTCTAGTGGGACTCATCACTGTACTTTCTGATAAATAAATTCCTTTGCATCAATCTATGAATGGATTCAAAGATTTATATTAAAACAGAGGTAACAAGCATTTCAAAGACGGGAAAACAAGGAGAGAGAAGGGTAACGTGACATGACACTTAACGTGACATGTTAGCTTTTTGTTACTATTTGTTAATGAAATATGTGTTAAGGAACTAAAATAAACGACAGAGATAAAAATCAAGGACTAACGTGACATTTTTAATTTTTTACAGACTAAAATGCCAAACGCAAATTCTCTCGGAGACCAAAATGAGGATTTAATCTTAATTTTTTGCAATTTCAATTCATCTTGTAATTTATGTTCAATCACTTTTTTTCACAACTTTGTAGTGTAACTCATAAATGTAATCCTTCTATATTTTGCAATTGTGGATATCATTCTTATTTTTGTATATAGGGACCAAAGTGTTACTCCTTCATTCATCTGAGATATTCTTAAATTTCAAGAGTTTAGTGAGACACTAAGTTCGTATTTTCTCAAATTTTTCCAAACATTAATAAGGATATTATTAGGGTCAATTGTTTTATCATTGTTCGTCCTTGTAAGAGTTTTATTTACTTCTTCAACTATATCAAATTTGGATTATTCGCTTGCACTTATAATCTTCCTATAACATCCTTAAAATAATTATAGAAATATTTTTCCCAATTGTCTTTGATATTTCTTGCATTCTGATATCTTGCCAAATTTTCAGCATTGTTGCATTTAGTCAGTCTTAAATACATCATCTTATCTCTAATATTCTCTTGCACACTTTCATTTCACTACTATGATTCCTTCTCTTTTGGTAAAAAACTTTTAGATCCACTTAAAATTTTCTTGGCAACTTTCCTGACTTTTGTAGCCATTTTGTCCCAAATGATGTTAGCATTACCTTTTGCAACCTAGTTACTCTCTTCTACTAACTGCCTATAAAAGTCCAATTATTTCTCACCTTTAAGTAGTCATCACTTAATTCTTAAAACAATAACTTATCAAATTCTCTGTTTACTTATCTTGAAATGAACATCAAGAACCAAGACCTATCTTGAATAGTAAGGCTCTCTCCTAGAATCACTTTATAATCTTTGCAACTTCTTTTGTTGTTGAATGTTAATTTTTCTTGACATTTTCGTAAGCGTTATAGCCTCAGTATAATTCTAAAATATGTTTAATATTTTAATTTTACAAATTTAAGGTTTATTTGGCAATGGAAGCTGGTTACACGGAGAAAGTTGATGAACTGTGTGATCGGTACTCCCTAGACAGGTTTTTGGATATCAAAGGTAAGCCAGTTTGTTGTGACCAACGAAAATTGGTAAAGGATAAAAAATTTATATTCTGATTAACATGAAGACTCTGTAATCAAGAAGATTGTGCTGCTTATTCTTCTTTTGCCTCTAGTCATTCTGTTTTTCCGAGTCATTTTTTATTTTGTTCTTGTATCCTAAAGGCATTACTCCTGTTCATTAGGTCATTTTTTATTCAGTTTGCCTGCATTGATGTTATTTCCATTTCCATTTTGTTTATTTACTTTATTGTTATTTAGTATCTACCATCTGCAATTTTATTCTCAGATGACAAACACAAAAACTGCTTTATGTCTTGTAGTACCTGAAACAAATAATCTGCAAGGGCGTTATTTACATCTTGATGAACTATCGGTTGAAGACATCATTTGGGTTGATGAAGTTGAAGGTTTGCTTGTTGCAACAAGTCATATTGAGGGTTTTAAAGTTGTAGGTATTGATTGTGAATGGAAACCTAATTATGTAAAAGGCAGCAAGCCAAACAAGGTAAATTGAAATGATTTTCTTGATAGATTAATGTTTCTCCATACATCTTTCTCTGTTTATTTGAATTGTATGTCAATAATTATATCTGGGTTTTTGGCTTCCCAGTTATGACATGTTTTCCCTCTGAAGCAGAACTCTTGATTCTCCCATTTTTCCTTTTGCCTTGATTTTCTATGTTCCAGGTTTCTATCATGCAAATTGCTTCTGAAAAGATGGTTTTTATCTTTGATCTGATAAAGTTACACACAGAGGTGCCTGGCATTTTAGACGACTGTCTATCTCGCATTTTGCTGTCACCTAGAATTCTAAAACTTGGTATGAAAATTCTAAATTCATTATGTCTTGTGAATATATTGGCAAAAAATACTTTTGATGAACAAGACTGATCCCTAACCTCTGTGGTATGATTAACGCGAATGAGAATGCTAGCATTGATGGGGTTTTCTAGTAGTATCTTTTTACTATTGTAAGGGAACATTCTCTAACCGATGAAGCACTTGGTGTCATTTTGTAAGTCTGAGATGGTAACCATTGCGTTTCAATTGTATTTTCAGGGTATAATTTCCAATGTGATGTAAAGCAACTTGGTCACTCATATGAAGAGTTGAGATGTTTCAAGAATTATGAAATGTTGCTGGACGTCCAGAATATTTTTAAAGAACATCACGGTGGTTTGGCCGGGCTTTCAGAGGTACTGCATGCATGAATGTGCTTCTAGGGTTTCAGGTCTCTTTTCCAGTAGATCTGATAGCCATGGAGGGATAATGATTAAATCTCCTGATTTGTCTGCATTATAATTGTAGCTTATTTTGACAAAACTTGTGTGTTTATTGGTAAATCAGAAAATACTGGGAGCAAGTTTAAACAAGACAAGACGAAACAGCAACTGGGAGCAACGACCTTTGTCTCCAAATCAAGTAATTGCTCCCCTGCTTTTTTGTTATTCATTAATGCTCTCCATCTTCATAAATTTCTTTGATCTAATGCATTTGTGACATTGGCTTCGGGAACGGGAGGTTCATTTTGTATAATTCCTTGTTTGCTACATCTTGCAAGTTGCAATCGATACTAGTTTTTACACTTCTGGAGGGGGGAGGAGGGGCTGAATATAGCCAAAGAAGAAGTATTATTTTTCTGATAATGAATTGAATTACTCCAAATTATGCTGTATATATGATTTCATGAGAAATTTAGTGTATGACAAGACATGAACGTTTATGATGGCTGAATTGTAATCCGTTTGAACCAAGTCATGCAGTTATCTAACGTGGTTCTAAATGTGCAGCTAGAATATGCTGCTCTGGATGCTGTTATACTTGTTCACATATTCCACCATCTTCCCGGTCATGGACATGATAAATCTGAGTGGAAGTCTTGCATCGTATGTGACTAATACCCTTTCTCTGCCTGGCAAATAGGCAGCCACCCCCGCTTAACCTTTCCTTTATTACAATTTCTCTTTTTTTATTATTCTGGCATTTTGTGTCTTTGGCAGTCTCATTATTTTGGTCTGGGCATAATATTAAAACTCTAGTAAACATTTACCATAAATAAAATACCCTCCATGAATGAACTTAATCATTTTTACTGTTTTTAACTGCCCTCCAGGTGTCCCACACGGAAAACGCCAAGAAATCCAAGAAACATATACCAAAAGTTGTGGACAGACATGGAGACCAACAAGGATTGATTCTGAACTGAGATTAATTTTTAATTGATTAAAGTGTAAAGTGGAAAATTTTATATAGAAAACAAGAGATTTTTATGAAGTGTGTTCATTAAATTCATTTTATATATATATATAATTTTTTGTCATGTATATGTATCATTTTAAAATGTGATAAATTATACATGCTATATTTACTAGTTACTATTACGGTTAGATTGGTGAAGAAACCCAAAATAAACACAACATATTTGAGGATGACTTGCTTGGCTAAATTCAGATTTTCCCCTTTCACTCTTGCAGCAACGGACGATAAGTTTTCCCCCATTCACCTCTGACCACTCGTTCCTTTACCGTAAATAAATTCACATATAAAAGATAATCCTACTGTTTCAGATTTTCGATATCCCCTTATTTTCTCTCTAAAGGGGAGAAAAGGAGAGGAGATTGAACACCAAATACATTCGTAGAAGGAAAGTATTGCAATAAAAACTGATTGAATAGAGTTTTGAGACTTAGGGTGATCAAAACCGTATCAGCTTAAAGAGATGGAAGTGATCCAACACCGGCTGCCTCAATCATTCTACGGAGCCGCAGGATACAGCCAACTACAAGACTTGAATGTGAGAACCATAAATGACAACGAATTGTGGGTAGGAAGGAGAAGGACCTCTCCTTATTGTTCTTATGATGAGCCATCTCCAAGGAGGAAACATAAACGCAATAAAGAGGATGTGAGCAAGCCACCTTCTCAGAAATCGCAGTGGAAAAACCATGAGCTAAAGAGAAAACGCAGAGTGGCCACATACAAATTGTACATGGCTGAAGGCGAGGCCAAGTCATCTCTTAAGAACAGATTTCCCAGTTTTAAGATCGCATGCATGAAGATCGTCACCAGTCGTTAGATTGTGTGTATGATAGTGTAATATAGTTTTATGATAACATGCGTTCCACGTGGTTTAGATGTGTATATGATGGAGCCTTCCTCGTGGTTTCTTTTCTATAGGATGTCATGAGGGTTGTATTTCTTTTCGTTTCTTTCTTGGACCAGTTCGGTTTTGTAAAATCTGTTTTTCATTTAGTGGCGACTTCTTAACTGGCTGTTTCCAGCTTCACCCTAAAAACGTTTCTTGGTGCCATAAGTCGTTTTGAACATTAAGACTCAAGACGTTTTATTTTGTTTTCTTTGGGCAGGTTCTCGACGTTTTTCAGAAGTAAACAAATTGATATTCTATCGATTCTGGAAATAATTTGTATGTGTAACAAATTAAACAGCTTTGGGGTCATGGTCCCGTTTTACACACACACAAAGCATTCTACGGTAACAAGTTTGTATGGAAATATTTTTTTTCTCAATCCCAAAAACACTGGATGTCTCGAGCTAGAGCAGCATAGTGATGAAAGCGAGCGATTCCTCAATCCCATGATTATGAGGAATCGGATTAACGAAATGGGAACTAAAATATTGAAACTTGCTTTTTCTTTTCTTGGCTTCATTAGATCGGATTTGCTCGAACGTGATCTTGATTGGTCCCAAATTTTTTTAAAATATCAAAATTTACTTTAGAATTATTTTTTATTAATAAAGTCTCATTCATTATTAACAACCAATCAAATGATACGAGTAACAGAGTTATACTTTTAAATTATCTAAATATTTTCGGCTTGTAACTCACATTCGTTACTCTTGATCAAATCATGACATCCAAAATCATAATATTGTACAATGGACATGCCAAAAAACAAAAGATAAATGCTATGGTGTCCAGAAGTTTAAGGACTTCGATTCTCTACAGTGGTCCATCCCTCTAGCAAAATCTCTGCATTACAATTTTCATAATCAAAAAGTTATAAAATATTATAATATTTTATTATTAATCAATAACACATTCATCTGTCGCCCTTTTTTCTTTTTTTTTTTCCGGTAAAAGCAAAGGCATAGGTGCCTTTCTTGGATTTACATGAGACCTATATCAACAAGGTTTTACAAAGGTTTAACATGAAAAATTAAAAAATTGTTTACTAAGTATAGCTCTATTGTGAAGGATGATAGACTTGAATTGAGTTAGCGTTCAAAACATAACCTATATCATGACCATATGAAAAATATTCCATATGTTTCAACTATTAGAAGTATTATGTATGCAGATTTGCACTAGACTTGACATTACATTTTGACAACCACGTCGTAATAGTTTCAAACAAAACTAGATTCTTCAAACAAGCATGCAATATAGGGAGTAAACCTAGGTCATCTCACAAGGACACAAATTCATTCTATTTCTAATTTTAAACATGCAATGGTGATTAATTTGGGATTTGTGATTTAACGATGAATTAAAAACGAAAGTAATTCGAATGAAAGCAGATCAAGACAATGAAAACGAATCTAAAAATAAATTTGAAAAACGAATTTGAATTTAAAATTTGAAAACAAATCTAAAAATAAATCTGAAAACAAATTTGAAAACAAGTCTAAAAAAATAAATCGGGAACCGAATTTGAATTTAAAATTTGAAAATAAATCTAAAAATAAATCTGAAAACGAAGTTGAATTTGAATTTTAAATTTGAAAACAAATCTAAAAAACAAATCTGGAATCAAATTTGAATTTAAAAATTGAAAAGAAATCTAAAAAAAAAATTGAGAACAAAAATTAAAAAATGAAAATTGAAAATAAAAATTAAAAACGAAAATTGAAACAAGAACAATTAAAACTAACACAAATTAAACTCATGAACCACAGAAGCAAACTAAAATTACTATACCGAATTTATCAAAAACTCAAATGCAATAGAAAACAATCGATCGATATTACATTCAAGAACAAAAATCAAATTCAATCAAATTATGCATTCACAAATCTTAATCAAGAATTGCGAGAAGGTAAAAAGACAAACTTAGAGTGTTCAATCGATCTAGCAATCTACGCTCGAGACGAGATGATTTACGACATCAAATAATTAAGAACACAACAGGATCCGAAGAGACGCAAGCGAATGGAATGAAACAAATTTACTCTAAAAAATGGAAAAGTATTTTTACAGAAAAATGAAATTATTAAAAGGATAAAAAGAAGGGTCCAAAATCAACCTTTTGACCCCTATATATACTGGTCTTAAATGAAAACGAAAATAAATGGGCCAAGGCCTCTACGAAAAATAAAATAAAGGCCCTAAGTAGAAACTCTAAATATAAAAGGTAAATTTTAAGTATGAACTTCAAAAATCAATAGAAAATAGCTCTAAACTCCAAACAGCATGATTCATATGTCCAAATTGAAGCTCAAAAAGTCAGGAATCCATTACAAAAAGAATCATCCAAAAAGGAGGTCAGAAAAAGTTATGACCGAAATAGTGGACAAAGGTCAGAATAAAAAAAAAATACGAAATATAAAGTAAAAATGACAAATATTCATGAAAACTCTAATTTAATACAAGAAATGCAAAAACATGCTAAATACAATAATTAAAGAGAGAAAAAAGTATTTTAGAAGATGTCGTAAGGCTATAAATGTGAGTATAAAATACAAATCATCAAATACCCCCACACTTAAGCTTTTGCACTCCCAAGCAAAAGAAAGGAAAAGACAACAAGACAAAACCAAACAAAGCAAAATTTTTCAATGGATCCTAAAGTGAGAGTGATGTGAGCAAGAAAGAAAATGAATTCATCAATCAAAGTATGAAAAAATAAAAAATAATCAAGAGTATGTCCTAACATAAAAGTAAAGAACTTCAATCTAACTAAATCATGGATCACAATTGGCAAAAATTCTCTCAAAGGTATGTGTATCACTCATTCTCTCAAGTGTATAGGTTAACATTTTTACTCAAAGCACATCATGAAAGTAAGCACAACCATAGGCTTAAAGAGTCTCTAATTTCCACTATTTGAAACACATGCATCAACAAATCAATAGGACTTTTAGGTAAGTAATGTGGCTAGGGAAAGGTGGGATAAAAAGAAAGTAGACAAGGGTAAGAAAGAACAGTAATGGAGAATGAGCTAAAAACAAGTAGAAAGATATCTAAAATTCAATACTAATTTTTTTTTTTTTTTTGTTTTTTTAAGCTACTATTCCAATGACTAACAATGCATCCAAATTTCCAAACAAAGCACAATATAACATAATACTCCCATACTTATTTTTAACCAACTCCTAAAATAATTCCAAAGCTCATCTAATCTCCAAGGTTAGGTGAATCATGGTTTTCCAAGTCACATGACTTGTAATGAGCTACAAAATCATCAAGAAAGGGTTAATAAGGCTCAAAGGGGTAAACAAGTGAAATAAATGCAAGGTGAGTAAATTTGGCTAAGTAGCTAAAATGTGAAAGAATGCCTAAATCATATCAACAGTGCATGTGAACAAATAATCTCAAAATGCGTCAAGTCAAGTTCTGGAGTACTTACAAACATGAGTGAATCACACAAGAAAGACAATAAGTTCAAATCTTACTAAGGTAATTATTCTACCAATCATTGATCCAAAATCTAATTATCATGAAAAATCAACTAAACTCAAATGTATGAAACAATTCTATCATGTTATGGAACTCTCAACTAAGAATGACAAATAAAAAGTTGTTCACACAAATAAAATCTAAAATCAAAGGAATCCAATGAAAAAAATGCTAAGGCATACTCTCCCCACACTTGAATCAAACATTGTCCGCAATGTGAGAAAAAGAAACAAAAAATGCAAAACATATGCAAGAAATCCAAGAAAAATAGAAAATGCAAAACATATGCAAGAAAAGGTAAAGGAAAGTATAAGGAAAAGAAACAAAAGTCAAAGAAAATAATGCCCCAAGTGCCTATGTAGACACATCCTCCATCAAAGTCGACTCCACTAAGGATAAATCAACTATGTTCTGAGCTGACTCCACTGGTTTGCTCTCCCAAAATAGTTTCAGCTGATGACCATTTACTTTAAAAGCCTTGCTGGTAGCTTCATCCTGAATCTCAACTGCACCATGGGAAAAAACATGAATAATCACAAAAGGTCCATCCCATCTAGATCGAAGCTTACATGCAATCAATTTTAACCGAAAGTTGAACAATAACACTTTCTCGCCTACAAAGAACTCTTTCCTCAGAATATGTGTGTCATGAAATCTCCTAACTTTCTCTTTATACAATCTAGAATTCTCATAGGCTTGCAAGCGTATCTCTTCAAGCTCCTGAAGTTGGAGCTTCCTTTCAATTCTAGCTTGCTCAAGTGTCAAGTTACAACTCTTTACAGCCCAATATGATCTATACTCAATTTCCACCGGAAGGTGGCATGCTTTACCAAACACCACTTGAAATGGAGACATACCTAATGGTGTCCGGTAAGCTGTCCTCTGAGCCCAGAGAGCATCATCCAGAAACTTACTCCAGTCCTTCCTGTTAGGGTGCACCAACTTCTACAACAGTTGCTTGACTGTTGAATACCTCAGCTTGCCCATTAGTTTGGGGATGATATGGTGTAGCAACTCTGTGTGTAACCCCATACTTTTGGAGCAATGCTGCTATGGTCATGTTACAGAAGTGACTTCCCTGATCACTGATGACAGTCTTAGGCACACTGAACCTACAAAATATATGAGTATAGAGAAAATTTGAAACAACTTTAGAATCGTTAGTTTTTGTGGCCTTTTCTTCCACCCATCTAGACACATAATCAACAGTAAGTAGGATGTAAGAATATCCAGCAAAAACAAGAAAAAGACCCATAAAATCAATGCCTTAAACATGAAAAAGTTCACAAAAAATAATGGGTTACAGAGGCATCTCATGCCTCCTAGTGATAGTCCCTCCTGCCTTCTGACATACCTCACGCTCTCAGAAAACCTAGCTGCATCCTTGAATATGGTGCGCTAATAAAATCTGTTGTCCAATACTCTCCTGGCTATCTTCTGCGGTCCAAAATGGCCTCCTACAGATGTGCCATGACAAAAATGCAGAATATCCTGAAACTCATGGTCAGGAACACACCGACGAATAACCTGGTTATTATAAAATTTTCACAGATATGGATCATCCCAAACATAATATTTAGCATTACTCTTAAGCTTATCAACCTGGGATCTAGATGCATCAGGAGGTACAATAACAGTAACCAAATAATTTACAATATCAGCAAACCAGGGTACAGATTCTATAGAATACAAAGCAAATAAATAATCATCAGGAAAACTGTCACAAATAAGTAAACGATCAATGGTCCCTTCAATACGACTTAGGTGATCAGCAACCTGATTCAACACATCACTCTTGTCTTTTATATCAATATTAAACTCCTGCAGAAGAAGCATCCATTTGATCAATCTGGGTTTAGCATATGGCTTCTTCAATAGGAATTTCAGTGCAACATGATCTGTAAAGACAGTTATTTTGGAGCCAAGCAAATGAGAACGGAATTTATCTAATGCAAATACAATAGCCAACAGCTCCTTCTCAGTGGCGGTATAATTTATCTGAGCTGCATCAAGAGTTCTAGAGGCATAAGAAATAACATGTGAAAATTTACCAACTCTCTGAGATAATACAGCTCCAAGTGCAAAGTCAGAGGTATCACACATCAACTCAAAGGAAAACTTCCAATCTAGTGGCTGCATGATATGTGTTGTAGTGAGTCTCCTCCTTAACTCCTCAAACGCCTCCTTACATGAATTAGTGAATAAAAACGGTACGTCTTTCTGCAAAAGATGAGACAGTGGCAGAGCAATCGTGTTGAAGTCTCTGATAAATCTCCTGTAAAAACCTGCATGTCTAAGGAAAGATCGCACCTCCCACACAGATGCGGGATAAGGCAGAGACGAAATAACATCAATTTTTGCTTTATCAACCTGTATTCCCCTCTCAGAAATAAGATGCCCTAAAACTACACCTTCTCTTACCATAAAGTGACATTTCTCATAATTAAGCACAACGTTAGTTTCAACACATCTTTCCAAAACTCTGGTCAAGCTATGCAAACATGAATTAAATGAGGAACCGTAAACAGTAAAATTATCCATAAACACCTCCATGCAATTTTCAATAAAATCAAAGAATACACTCAACATACACCTCTAAAAAGTAGCAGGTGCATTGCATAGGCCGAATGACATCCTTTTATAAGCAAAAGTGCTAAAAGGACAAGTGAAAGTGGTCTTGTGTTGCTCCTTAGGAGCAATATGAATCTGCATGTAACCAGAAAAACCATCTAGGAAGCAATAATGGGATTTATATGCTAACCTTTCTATGACCTGATCAATGAATGAGAGAAGGAAGTGGTCCTTTCTAGTAGCCTGGTTAAGTCGCCTATAATCAATACATACTCTCCATTGGTCTAGACTCATCCTCCAAGTGAATCATGTGCATACATATAGCTGGACTGATTCCAAGAATGTCAGTCAAGGTCCAACCAATGGCCTTCCTGTGCACCTTTAGGACATGCAACAGCTTCTCCTCCTGGTCTTCCAGAAGGCTGTTGGAAATAATCAGTGGGAACCTCTGCTCTGCCTCCAGATAGGCATATTTAAGATGGTTTGGCAAAGGACTTAACTCTAATGAGGGCGACTGCTGAACAAATGATAATGGAGGTTGTGGGGCAGCAGCAATCATGGATATAACAGAATCTGAACCTGCACCTGTAATGGAAGGTAAAACAACAAAAGATATGGCAATATCAATCTCAGCACAAATGGAACATATGTCACTATCACAGGTGCAGCTTGGTAAAGCATCAAAGTCTAAATTTGAAAACTGAGAAAAATCAAAGTCTGAATCCAAATCTACACTGACATCTACAACAACATTAGAACCTATAACATCAATATCAACTATAAAAATAGAATGGTCAGAAATCATAGAATGACTCTCAGCTGGATGTCTCATGGCATCAAAAATATTGAAGTGAAATGTGTCATCTCCAAACTTCATAGACAATGTGCCTGTATGAACATCAATCTTGGTCCTCGCAGTCATTAAAATGGCTTTGTCAGAATCAATGTAGAATTCTCATCCTTCATATCAAGAATATATAAGTCAGCTAAAAAAATTAACTGGTTGACTTTTACCAACACATCTTCAAGCACTCTCAAAGACTAAGCTGTGCTACAGTTTGCTAATTGAATAATCACATTGGTTGGCTTCAAGTCTCCCAAATGTAGCATTTTATACACTGCTGATGGCATGACATTAATGGAAGCTCACAAGCCTAGCAAGGCATTAGTAAAGGTTGATTCTCCAATAGTGCAGGGTATGGAGAATGTGCCTGGATCATCACATTTTTTAAGAAGACTGGACTGAGACAGGGATAAGACTGTTTGGACTGCTCTCTTCTTCAAATTCCTCTTATATGTACATAACTCCTTCAAAAATTTCGCATACCTAGGAATCTGTTTAATAACATCCAACAGTGGTATATTTATCTTCACCTTTTTGAAAGTATCCAACAACTCTTGATCGGACTCTACTCTCTTTGATGTAGAAGCTCTGGATGAAAATGGAAGAAGGATCTGTTGCTGCTGCTGTACAGACTTCTCTGTGACATCTACACTAGACTGAGTTGGTTTGGCCTGCACCGGGCTATTATCCAGCTCTTTGCCGCTTCTCAAAGTGATAGCACTGACATTACCTTTAGGATTCACTACAGGTTAAGAAGGTAACGCTCCAGACCCTTGTTGCTGTAGATTGTTCATTGAGGTAGCTAATTGACCAATCTGGGTCTACAAATCCTGTATAGTGGCTGAAACATTTTACTGGAACTGCAGACTTTGTGTAGCCATTTGGTTCATCAGTTCTTCCAGAGAAGGGCTATAATTAGGTAGCTGCAGAGGTGGCTATTGTGGAGCTTGCTGTCTAAGAATAGGAGGAGTATATTTCAGCTGTGGCTATGCTGGCTGTGGTGGTTATGCTAGTTGGTGGACTGGATGCTGCACAAGCTGTGGCTGTTGGTAATTATACCTATGCTGATGTTGTGTCTGGACCATGTCGCACGTTAGGATGATTCCTCCACTTAGATTATATGTAGGTGCAAATGGATTATACTGCTGCTGCTGGTACAGAGGATGTATACCTGCCACTAGAATGGAAACAGGCCAGGTCAGGCCAAACTTTACTCTAAACATGCCTGACTTGTAACATAATTATTAGGCTTGAGCTTGACCTGTTACCTATTAAAGGCTTTATTTTAGGCCTGACCTGGCCTGTTTAAGTGGCCTGACCTGACCTGAAGCCTGTTAACAAAGTCTGTTACAAAAAAAAAAAATTAATATTAATAAAAATATAAATATTTTATTATCAAATTAGTTTATATATTTTTTTAATTTCTATCTATGTTATTAATAATTATTAAATAATTATAATAATATTTATATAATTTTATAAATAATTTTTAAAATATTATTTAAGTATTAATTATAAATATTTTATATTAATAAAATTTATATTTATATTTTTCTTGATTTATTTTTAAAAATTATATAAATACTAAATATTTTAGTTTTATTTTAAAACATATTTTGTTTGTTTAAAGACATTTTATATTCAACAAATAAAATTATAGTAAACATATAAAATTGATAAAAAAAATAACATTCACGCAATTTGTTGAATCAATTAAAAGAAAATTATTATGTTTTAAAAATTAAATAAATTTAAACTTAATGCAATATATATATATATATATATAATGACAATAATAATAACTATTAAATTAAAAAAATAATTACAAAATATTTAATTTTATTTGTTTCATTAATTTGTTATTTTAAATTAACAAATGAATATATAAAATTAACTATATTATAATATTAATGTAATATAGAAAATATTACTGATACAATAAATTAAAACATATACTTATATATTACATATAAATTGATAAATTAACTAATAATTTAATTAAAATACGTGCAAGTTACAAAAATATATATTATTAAATAATTTATTTATAATTATATTATTTGTTATATAGTTTGATTATATATACATATATATATATATATATATATATATTAATATATATTATAATAAATTTTTTATTTTATTTTCTTATTATTTTTTATAAATTTTTCCTTTTGAATAAAATATAATTTATATTTAAACAATTTTTATTTATTATAAATATAAAAAATTATAACATACTATATTAATATAATAATTGAATATTAATAATAATAAAATTAAAAATATGAAAAATTTATTAAAAAAATATTAATGTTTTATTTTTAAATTTTAATTCGTTTATTCTTTTTCAGCTTGTTTAAATATAACAAATATAAAATTTATGATTAAATAAATTTAGTTTTTAAACACGTGTAATCGTGTATAAATATTTTTAGTTTCAAATATAATATAATTTTTATTTATTATAAATAAAAAATTATAACATAATATATTAATATAAAAATTAAATATTAATACTAATAAAATTAAAAATATAAAAAATAAATAAATATAATATTATTTAATTTTTAAATATTAGTTTCTTTAATTTTGATTGCATTCTAATCTTATTCGAAGACGTTGCTGCTCTTCAACTTGTTCAAACAAATATAACAATTTATCTTATATTTATATTTAAAGTGATTATAGATAATAATAAAACAAGAAAAAAAAATAAGTGCGACAGCAGTTTTGGCTCAGAGGTATATAGTTATGCTAGATTTGTAATTTGTTGTGATGTAGTTAATACAATCAATGAAATTTTTTATTATAAATTTTATACCAATAAAATTGCTTAAGAAAAGATAAAAAAATTAAATAAAATTTGTATAATATTAAAAATTTATAATAATTATTGTTATTGAATAATATTAATAAAAATATAATTATTTTATTATCAAATTAGTTTACATATATTCAAATTTTTATTTGTGTTATTGATAATTATTAAATAATTGTAATAATTTTTATATAATTTTATAAATAATTTTTAAAATATTATTTGAACATTAATTATAAATATTTTTATATTATAAAATATTTTTATTTTTATTTTCCTCAATTTAATTTTATAAAATTACTAAATTATTACATATTTTAATTATTTTTTATGATAATTATATTTGATTTGTATAAAGACATCTTATATTCAATATATAAAATCACAGTAAACATATAAAATTGATAACAAAAAATAACACTTACAAAATTTATTGAATCAGCTAAAAAAATTATTATATTTTAAAAAGTAAATAAATATCGTTATTATAAAAATTGTAGATAAAAAATATTTATATTATAAAATTCATAGATGCAGAAAAATAACATATGAGCATAGGAAGAATTATTAAAATTTATATTAAAATTAAAATAACTTATATTTCTAAATTTTTATCTTAATTAAAAAATATGTGATAAAACTTAATATAAAATAACAACAATAATAAGTATTAAATTAAAAAAATAATTACAAAACATTAATTTTATTTGTTTCATTAATTTAATATTTTAAATTGACAAATAAACGTAAAATTAACTACACTATAACATTAATGTAATATAAAAAATATTACTGATACAATAAATTAAAACATATATTTATATATTATATATAAATTAATAAATTAACTAATAATTTAATTAAAACACGTACAAGTTACAAAAATATATATTATTATATAATTTATTTATAATTATATTATTTGCTACATAATCTAATTATATATATATATATATATATATATATTAATATATATTATAATAAGTTTTTTATTTTGTTTTGTTATCATTTTTTTTATAAATTTTTACTTTCAAATAAAATATAATTCAGATTTAAACAATTTCTACATATTATAAATAAAAAGAATTATAACTTAATACATAAATATAATAATTAAATAATTAAATTAATAATAATAAAATTAAGAGTATAAAAAATATGTTAATATAATTTTATTATTTTATTTTT